TTTTTTTTTCGAAAGAAAAATTCATTACAAGTAAATCTCCATTTGCATAAAGATTACCGGGAGTAAAACCACTATTAAGATTTGTTGATAGTGTACTATTTCCAGCAGTATTACTTGCAGGTGAACGACGGAAAAATTGTGTAACGAAATAAAACATTAACATCCGGAAAGCCATTGATTTTATTGTATCCCATGTTGATGCACGTGCTGGAGCAGGAGGAGTGGGATTGGGATTATTATTATTAGCAACATTATTATTTTGTTCATCTACTGGTGTAACAGCATTTTCTTGTTGTTCATTCTAAAAAATAAATTTATAATAATAATAAAATATTAATTATTATTCAATTGACTTACAGCATTTTCTTCATTTCCCTCTCTTGATTGATTTCTATTTCTATTCGGCATGATCTACAAGAAACAAAACAATTGTTGTAAAATAGTTTTTTTTTTCGTGAGTAATTTAGATTTCTAGTAGCCATACTGTAAATTAATTTAATCTTGTCCGTTTCATCGACCTCCGAATGACATTAAATAGCAAATAGAAAATTTTTGTTTTTGAAATTAATTTATTTTATTAAATAAATTGTTTGAATTTTAAATTAAATATTATTTTTATTTAACATAATTTTTTATTGATTGTAGCGCTCTATCTATTGATTGGTTTTTCTAAAACAGCTGAAAATGAATCATAGTAATGATAAGATAAGATTCTAAAATATCATAATAATAATGTTAAAAATTCTAATTTTTTATCTATCTATTCAATTAATACATGGAGATTATAAAGATCCTATATATCCAGTACAAAATCCCTGTCTGGCTATACTCGATCGTTTATCAGATATGGCATCTTCATTCCTAAATTGTGCTGTAAGTCGAGCACGACCATTTAAATTATGTGAAGGTTGTGTAGATACTTTTGCACGATTACAAGATCTTATAGGTTTATTAGATAAAGTTTGTAATTGTAAATTTTATTTAAATTAAAAAAATAGATATTTTATTTAGACATATTCGGATGTGGATAGGACGATAACATGTAAACAATTTCTTGAAAGTTATGATACAATACAAATTGTTGCTCAACTTATTTCATTTGTTCAAAATATTTGGAGTTCATCGTTTTGTGATAGTAAGTGTTTATATTGAGTTGAATTTATATTCTTATATCATTTTCTTTTAGGTTGTATCACTGGTTATAATGATACGAATGGTACAATTCATTATAGTTTAACTGAAAGTACAACGAAATTTATTCAGAAAAAAATGACATTTGATTATTGTATTTTTAATGCGACGGGTGTAAGTATTTTAATGAATTCAATTATATTATTTTTCTATTATGTTTCTAGCGCATAGTTCCAATTATTCCAATTGATCTTAATGTTACATTGAATACAAATGTTTGTACAGTATGTTTACCAGTTTATAATGATATCAATGAATTTTTTATAAAAAATGACACAAGATACTAAAAATGGTGTTTGTATGGATATTGTTGATACAGTAAGAAATACAAATATATATTTTTTTTTGATAGTTATTTTATTTTTTAAGATGAATTATACACGATTATTATGGAGTAAAATTTATGAATGTAAAAGACATGATCCAGATTATATGGCTGTTATGGGAATATCATTTTTTATTCCAACTATTGTTTTGGTTTTTTATATTAGTGCGTTATTCAAAGGTAAGAATAGATTGTATATATTGTAAGAGAAATCGAAATGTCTAATATCTTGATCTCTACAGTTATCACAAAGCAAGATAATAGGAATTTATAACAATGCAATCTAAAAGATTTTATAAGTCAATAAACTGATCATGAGTAATTTTGTTTAGTTTTGTAAAAGTTTATAAACTATTGTTTAGGATAATTCCCGAAGTGGTTAATTACTTTTCAGTTGAAACTTTCCTCATTATGTAGATACTATTACAATGTGGGCCTCTCTAATCAAGGCATCTTTATTGTTCTATGCTTTTGATTTGATGTAATACACTAAAAACAAAAGCGAAATTTAACACAAACAAGCACTTAGTTTTCGAAATACAAATCTAAAGAAAGCTTCGTTCTTTCTCTCTAATATGTTATAATAGATAAAAAAAACAGTAACATGATTCTAACTCTGAAGGAAATATAAATGATTTTGGTATTCATTATTCTACCGAATTGTAAAGTTTTACTTTGTTTAAAAGTGTCTTATGTTCTTCGAACTTAACTATACAGATAAAATGTAATCTTATATGTTGATTTATTATAAAGTTTTCATAAAACATACTCGAAGTTCGAATGTTTATTTTATTGTTTTTATAGGTGAACGAACACAAAAGAAATTATCACGACGTATGTAAACTATTATTTTATTTATTTTTGTCATTTAATTAAATATTATTTTAGAAAAACGTCTTCCAATACATTCTACAACTGCTGCAATTGTGGGTGACAGAACATGGTTATGGTCAAATCCGAATGATTAAAAATATAAACTATTTTTCTATATTTATTAAGTTTTGTTTATGATAATAAAATAAAACAGGCATTTATTAAATAAACTGTTACAAAAATTTAAAAAGCTGTATAGACATATTTCACCAGTCAAAATCATTGAAACATATTCTTTGTATATGTCTTTGTTTATATATGTCGACAGAATGTTATTACACAAAAAAGAACCAATAGAAATGAAGTTATTTTGTCTTCCTATTGGTTGAAAAATGTTGTCAATGAATTGGTCTATATAAGGAAGCTATTTCGATAAAATCATCCTCATATCCAACACATATAACTTTACTTCGTTCATTCGATTAATACAAAGTTTATTATGGCACCAAAAGCTCAAACACCATCAAAAGGTTCAAAAAAAGCTGTTACTAAAACAAGCAAAGGATCAGCTGGACCAAAAAGTGAAAAAAAACACAGACGTCGACGAAAAGAAACCTACTCAATCTATATCTACAAGGTTCTTAAACAAGTTCATCCAGATACTGGTATTTCGTCCAAAGCTATGTCGATCATGTAAGTTTAATTAAGAATTCTTTTCTAGACAGAAACATATATAAATTCTTTTTTTTTTTAATTGAATAGGAATTCATTCGTGAACGATATCTTTGAACGTATTGCAGCTGAATCGTCACGTTTATCACATTATAACAAACGATCAACAATTTCATCACGTGAAATTCAAACAGCTGTTCGTCTTTTATTACCTGGTGAATTAGCTAAACATGCTGTATCAGAAGGTACAAAAGCTGTTACTAAATACACCAGTGCTAAATAAAGTAAT